TGATAAGAATAATATATATAATCTTGTACCCAAGAAACCTGTGAGGAGATCAGAGATTGTTCATCTGCCAGTTGGGCAGCCAGGAGGGGCCAGGCCTAGGGTCTGACCTGTGAAACTCACTGACTCCACTGGTTAGGAAGAAGTCGTTTAAAAAGAAGCAAAAAGAATTTTAATTGGATCTGGAAAATGATGTGAACCTCACTCAGTGGTCCAACAGGAAAAGCCTTTTATCTCCACTATTTATAAAGAGCTGCCTGTGGCAAAGAGTCCCTGCGCTACTCCGAAAGGTAGCACAAATGGGAACGGGAGGAAAAAAGGAGGAGATGCTGGAAGGAAAGCCACTTGCAGTTCTGGATTGGCTCAGTTCTCAGAAGATTCTTTATCCCTGGTTTCCAAAGCTCAGCCTGAGATCAGAACAGTGAGTGGTGCTCCTGGCCTACGTTTCAGCAGCTGCAAGGAGGGGTTGTGCATCATCTTGCCTTTGTCATTTTTTAAGATATTTTTACCCCCACTTGGGCTTACACAGCTGCATTGCTTCCATCCTGCTGACAGCTTTAACTTTCATTTGTCACTTAGCTGGGCACGAGGGCTCACAATATGCACGGGGATTGCAGTTCTTGTGTAATTGATGGCACCTGTGCAGGCAGCCAGGTGCTGCAGTGTGTGCTGTGGGCACAGAGCTCTGTGTTTGTGCCACCTCCACCGATCGCATCAGTACAGCACCAGGAGTTGGAGGGATGAGATTTTAAATTGCCTGTCTTTCGGGTAGGATCTGTCTTAAGTCACCCTGGGATGTATTTTGAAGTTATGTCAGGGTCAACTACGGCACGTAGGTGGTTTTGTACATATGTCTATCAATCAGTGAGCTCCTTTCCAGAAGAGGTGGCAGAAGAATTTATGTAGGGAACCTAATGTCATTCATTACAATGGCCAAGGCTATGACATGACCCAGATTCCCACATTCATAGAAGTGGAGAGTGCTCTGATCTGACACCTCCAATTGTGAGATGCTCTGCTTTAGCTCAAGCTGCCAATTCCATCTGCAAGCTGTTGGGTTCAGGCCCAGGTCTGAGCAGGATTCAAGGCATGACACATGCTGCTTCTGACAAGGGACGGGGGCTGTCGTGTGTGAAGTTCATTTGAATGAGTGGAGCTGATCTCCCAGCACGTAAGTCTTCATGCAGGGCACTGATACAAATGCAGACATTCCCCCAGCATGTTCCAAATCCACTTCCTTCCTCATGCCAACTACATCAAAGCTGCAGAAATAGAAACCCTTGGAAAGTATTTAATATCTCTAAAAAGATGGAGCAGCTGATGGCATGCATTCCAGCATCTCTTGAACAGCCTCTGGACAAACTTTTCTCTGACCTTGCATTAGAGGAAAGGGTACTGCTGTGCTGAATCAATAACCTCCCTGTTTGCTTATGTTCATTTGTTGACCAGGACCATGGCTGGCCTCTTCAGGCTTTTTATGCCTTTGGACCCACCAAAGCCATTTGTTTATCATTTTTTTTCCAGGCAGTCCCCACAGGCACTGGATGAATACTTTCCTGATGCAAATGGAGAAGCCAGCAGATAACTGAGTCCAATGTGGTCACAGTCTGAGTCCTGCTGGAAGTGACCAATGAATCACACAGGCTCAGTGTGAAAAGTGTTCTCAGGAAGATCCAGCAGCTTCTCACTGGTAATAACTTCCATGTGACAACCTGTCCCAAAACTCAACATTTTCCTCAGACACTCAATTTACATCTCAAAAAGAATTTTCCTTCTCTGTGTTCATTACTCCTTCTTGAGCCACAGATATTTCAGGAAACAATCACTGGCAGATAGTCCACAGGAACAACTGATATCTGAACTCATTCTGGGAAATTATTTTTGCAGTTCTCCACTCAGCACCAGAAAAAACCTCACTCTATCAGGATGCACGTCATCAAGGCTCTGGCATGGTTCAAACTTCAAGCTAGGGCCACAAACGCCTTGGCACAGGGAAAGGCTGCAGGTGGAGGTCTTGGGAAGGGGATGCTGTGCTGCTGCGTGCACCAGGGTATGGCAGGGTCTGCCTGGGGAGGTGGTGGAGTCACCCTTCCTGGAGGTGTTCCAGAAAAGGGCACACGTGGGGATGTTGTTAGGGGCATGGCAGGGGTTGGGTTTGGGGATCCTAGGGGTCTTTTCCAACCTTAACAATTCTATGATTCTCAAGCAGATCCTGGGGCACCACGCAGCCCCGACAGCAGGGAGCACAGCGTCCTTCAGACACTCCTCCCTCTGTGCCCACAGAAGAGTTCATTTTGAGTTCAGTGCCCCAAGGCACCATTCGGGCTGAATTCCCACATTCCCTCCTCCTGTGCAACGCTTCACAATATTGCTTACACTGCAATCTCCTTCAGGCTTGTAGCTTCTATACACATTGTAGGCTCTGCCCGCTGATCACAACAACGATACCTAATTCAAACAATGGGAGCTTTTTTTTTTTAATTTGTGTGAATTTCCTTTGATGTTTAAATGACATAAAATCAGCAAAACAAAACAAGGCTCTCATCTGAATCACTCAGGAGAATACAGTAAGCTGTTCGAGGCTGCCAGATGCAGTTGTAATTAGGTGCTTGCAGAAATGTATTATCTATTTTATCTGTTATTTACTGTGCATACTATACTTACTGTGCTGAACGCTCCTGACAGATGACTGCAGATTTCTCTATCTGTGATTGTCTGGATGCTGTTGCTACACTGTTTTTGAGAGTGGGAGACAAACCAATTGGATTCTGACATTTATTTATCTCCTTAGAGCAAATCTTTTTGTCTGAGAGATATGTAGGACTCCTAAAGAGATGTTACACTGCCTCGTGCTAATCCTCCTTAGCTGCCGGATTACTGACCTAATGCACAGTGACAGCCCTTTGGGAGCACCGTGCTGAGCTGGAGTGCAGGAGTGCTCTGCTCCATGAGACCCCCCTGCTACGGGCTGTCCTCGTGCAAAGGGGCCCTCCAACCTTACTGAGCTGTATGGCCTGTTTAGTTAATCACCCCTTCCACACAGCAACACCCTCTGGGTCAACCCCAAATCCTCAGCTCCCTCTGCCCTACAAAGGGCAGGAGCTCAGCTGCTGCTGCTTATTCTATAAGCACCTTGACCTGTATTTGGGCTTGCACTGCTCAGCTGTGGTTAACTCAGCCAGGTTTATAATCTGAGGCCCAGGAGAAGGGAAAAGTCTCCCAGCTTCTTAGCTAATACCTTCCTCTAAGGTGTTTGTAAGTCTCATCATAAAGAAGAGCCCCTCTCTTAGCTTTTCTTTAAGTATATAGGAAATATATGTAGAGAACTATGTAAGAACAGATGTATTCCAAGATTGCTGCTTGCAAGAAGAAAATTTACAGGATTACAACCAGTTGTAACACAGAGCCTGCAAAGGGAAGTGCTGAAGTTAAGGAAAGAAACTGGAGACGCAGTGGGCCTGCCTACAATAAGGTAAAAATGAGCAACCTTCAGTTAATTATTCTACATAAGCACTGCTCATTTGGTTTATAGAAATTCAGTCTCATAGCAGTGAGTTTATGTCTCTGAGTTCCTATCTTCTGCTGGCTCTCCAGCCTGCTCCTTCCTACCAGGAGCTCCTGACCTACAACTCAGCTTCTCCAGAATGAAAATGTCTGCTGTCTCAGAGGCAGCTCACAGGCTGCTAAGAGCTGCTTTCCAAAAGTACATCACCGATTTTTTTTTTTTTTTGCACTGACCCCGGGAGCAGAAAGCAGAACTGCATCTGTAGGAGATGCTTTTATTATCCTTGCCTCATAATCTCACAGTGAGGAAAAGCTGCACCTGCAGGAAAACCTCAGCCAGGCACTGCAGAGTAAGGGAGAGACTTTGAGATTTTGCTGAAGGAGAAAGAGAGTAAGGACACACAGGCAGTCCTCTGTAACCCCTCAGGGATGAAGGATGCAAGCAAATAAGCATCACCCACCTCTCCTCCTTACAATCCTATGTTTTGCATCTTTTGGCTAAGGGAGAGGGGATGGCAGTGCAAGTGCTGTGTTACAGAGCATATCCTCAGACCACAGCTGGATCTCAGGAAGTGTAAAACGCCACAGGGTAACACAGCAATTTTCCAAGTGCATGGACAGCTGCAGTGTCTGAGCTGCTCTGTCTTCCTTGCATACCATGTTTGTGAGGGTCATGGGAACTGAAATGGGGAACAAAACAGTAACAAAGACGTTTTTTAGTGATTATATATCAACTTCAGAAGCGAATAAGACTGTACGGCTGTTCTTTTTTTGCTCATCATGTTAAGACTGCCGGGTTACACTGCAATGCCTACCTGCTAGGCTGTGTGGCTACAAGCTTTTAAAATGTATGTTTACAAACCCTTGAGAAGAGGGATATAAAATGAAAGAAATGACAGCTGTGAATGATAACTGCGATGAATACTGTCATAATAAATCCTGTCCTCCACCCAAAGGAGCAGTAAGGGACTCCTCCTGTACCACGCCATGTTTTTACATGTCAGGTACATCTCTCCAACACTTTCCAGCTAGCTTCTGGCCTGAAAGTCTCAACACACGTTGCCTGAGCTCAGCTGTGCATGACTCAAAGCTATTTGCCCGAAAATATTGCATTTATTGATATTTTAGGTTGAGATTTTCAGGCCTGCTCTTGGGCTTCTGCTCCCCGAGCCGGAGGATTTGATGCATATAAACCCACTGGGAATGTGTCTTTTTGAGATGCTCTGCACAGCCTGCTTTTACAGCTATAATTGCAAGAGGAAGGGATGCTGAAATGATAGTAAAAAAAAAGAAGTTTTCCTATGAAAGATTAACTACTTTTACCACTGTGGTCCTTAGCAGAGTTATAACATACATTAGCTGCCAATTCCCTGCTTCAGCCCAACCTGCTGTTGCTACAAAAGGGGGTGACAGTTTAAACAACTACTTCTGGATAATTTGGCTGAGGAAAAGCTGTGCTCTGTATGAGTTTTGCAATGACAAATGAATTCATCTACACGTGCTGGCTACACATTTTGCCATATCTTTATTGCACTTTTACCACGTTGCAAACAATTCCACAAAAATGCTGCAAAAGTAAGCCTAGAGCTGCTGAAAACAGCTTTTTACCCATATATGTATATATTTACACAAAACTATCAAAAGCAAAGTTGAAAAGTAGCAGCTCAGCTATGATAGTCTAGAAAGATAAGAGCTGCCACCTCCTTAAGGATAAATAGTACAACTTGTCATTTTACATCACTTTGTAAAACCAACATTCAAGTATTCCTGTCAATGCACAATTAGTGAAATTCCCCTCTGGTAATCACTGTATTATTATTATTATTATTATTATTAATAATATTATTTTTTGCCTTTAAAAGTTTGTAATGCCTTAACCCTTTAAATGCCGAACAGCTGGAAATAAAGTGTTCAATTTAAATAAGATACAGTGGATTAGAGCACTTAAAGGGTTAACACAGCATCCTAAGCGGACTGTCACCACAAATACAGTGTGAGTCACAAACCTATGCTGTCCCTCTTTGTTAGATTTGGTAGGTAGGTCTGGGGTTCGTAGATATACCGTATATAAATACAAAATATTAAGTAAAGGCCTCCTTGCTATACAAAAAGGACAGGAGGTGTTTTGCTATCAGTCTGTCGGCGATGTGTTTTCTCAACCTCTTCATAATCTCTTCTCGGGAACTAATGAAAAGCATCACGTTAGACTTATTTTTCTTAATGAGCCAATCCTTTGCAGAGTCTACACTATACCTACTCTGGGAACAATTATATCTCGTTTCTGAATTCACTGAATTCACAAAGTGGCATACCAGTCTTTTGCAAGACTTTTTTTTTTCTCTTTTCCTTTTTGAATCTTCTTTACTCGGCTGATAAAAACGTAGTCTTGCGATTTCACTACCTCTCGGTCGCAACAGTGTTAACATCAGTGTTAAAGTCATTTTCAACCACATTGTCATAACCATCCTTCTCTATGCAGTCACTGACAGCCTTGAGGACAATCCGCAGCCGCCTGTCCATCGCCTCCAAGTGAGGTTGGTAGAGAATGGGAGCGATTTTATCTTTTAGCAAAGATTCCTTCATCAGGAGACTGAGTTTGTATTCCTCCTTGGCTAACAACTGCAATCGCAGATAGGTCGACTTCCTTATTCTAAGAGAAAAAGGAACAAAAAATCTGTGTCAGTGTTTTCATCGCTGCTGATCTCAACGAGGGTAAAAGGCTTGGAGTCACAGAGGTGGTAGCAAACAAATATTGTGTGATCTGAAATGCTAAGAACCAAACAGCGTCATATTCCAAACCCCTGCTTCCATTTTCACGTGGCTGGTGATATTTGGGAGCCTGCAGAGAAGGAGCTGTCATGCAAAATGAAGCTCTAGATATCCCTCATCCTCAAAACTCTTGGCTATTGGCTTTGAGGAACACACCTTTGAGAAACACTCCAGCTGAGGGAACGGTTCACCCTTTCAGTTTTGCTTTAATAAAGCCATATTTTAGCAGAGCCTCTCACAATAGTTCAGAGCCACGCTCCTGCTGGCAGATCTTAATTCAGTAAAGCACTTCAGCCCATCAGTGCCAATGCTCAGGGACAGCTCAGGTCAGGCTCACCGGGCAGGATCACAGCATCCCCTGTCTCCATGGTTTGCAGAGGAAGGCACACTTGAATATTTCAGTCCTACTAGCTGAAAAATCTGTACAAAATGGAGGATGACTGCAGAGATGAAACTTACCTGCAGCACTGGTTTAAAGGCACCAATATGGAAAGTTCATCGTGGGAGTATTTTCCAAACCTATTTAAAGGTAAGAAGAAGAATGTGACAAATGCTGCTTTAAAGACTCGCTTGCACAGCTCTTTTCATTTCAGGAAATGCAAGCATAAAATTCATGGCTGTGTATGTTCTGCTTAACTGGACTGGCACTGAGAAAATCTGGACTCCAAGTTCAGCCACTTATTCTGAACAAATGACACAGTTCTGGCAGGTTTCAGTTTTTCTTTTCTGAAACAGGGAAGCAAATACTTATTTTGTACTCTTCTCTGTTAAGCTGCTCTCCTTATAAACTATGAGGTATGGACAAGGAAAACCTGTTTCTGAGCAGCAAATAGCATGCAAGAATTTGGTTCTGCTTTGGGGCTTCTAATACTGCCTTATTATACCAGTAATTGCTAATAATTCGTAAATGACTGGATGCAAAAATGGTCTCATAATGGCTGCTATGAAGTAAATAGTTTGTCCAAAGATTGTTCAAAAGATTATTGAAGGTACTTACCCTCTTCCATTATCTAAGTGGATAATAAATGTTTCATTTCCAAACTTTTCAAAGGTTTCATAGTGATGTCGATCCATGTTACCTATGGTGAAAAAAGACCATTGTTGTTAAGGCTTAGATTTACAGGGGGAAATGGACTCTTGAAATAGGGATGTTAATCCATATGACTTCACTAATGCATTTGATCCACAACCAAACACCCTGTTTTTTCTTGGTTAAGGACTTCTTTCCAAATTTCTGGCTGCTTGGAAAGCCAAAATAATGTTACAGCTCTAATATATGGAGCAGGATTCTCCTGGTACTGCTTTTGGCATCCATGGCAGATGGCCACGTGATCTCCATTTTAAGGTCACTGTGTAGAGCACCGTCGCCAAGCTGGAGTTTTATCTTCATAGTGGGGATCCCGAGTCACTTCTAGATGCCGCATGTGGCTCCTGAGCTGTGATTTGGCCTCTCCTGCTGCAGTCTGCTGCAGAGGTCTCACCAGTGGGAATGGCAGAGGCTATGTCCTTGCTCACTTGTCTTCAAGGACCAAGTGTGCCTGTTGACGCCTTGCAGCGATATTGGCGCGGCAGGGCAGGTTACGTATACAAATGTCTCAGTGTTAACCTCTGGGTAGACTTGGCATAGGTCACTGTTACATTCTTGTTAATAATTAATTTACTGTGAGCAGGCTAGCTAACCAGAAAAGAGAAAAACAACCTTCCTAATGCATACCACAGTTGTCTTTGTGACAAATCAATACTTCTCCATCCCCCAGTCCCAACCTCCAAGTCTGTGGAGCAAGCAGCAGGGAATATTACTGCAGGATGAAAGCAATGTGCCAAAACTGAGCAGCCCTTGCAAGGGTATGCAGGAGCTGTACAGAACTTTGCTAAGGCGCTCACTACAGCAAATTGTGAAGCCCCTGGCAGCTTTGAAGGAGACTAGCATGACCTGCATTTATCACTGTGCACTCCTGAACATCTTTGTTCCTTTAATCTGCACTGATGGGAATACATAACCATGTAAATGTGCATTTTCTCATAATCATCTAGAATGGCATATACTGCAAATGCAGCTTCAGCCGTGCTTTAGTAAATTGCTGAGCTACGCAGAACGGTGTAGAAAGAAGTGGTTCTTATTCTAATTAAATGTTGCATTTAATTTTTGAAAGAGATGAAACATACCCATTAGAAAATCAAAAACTGTCATATCCATTATATCCAGAATTCTGGTCCCACTGTCATACGGGGGTGTTTGTTTAACCTCTTCACAATAATCTGGATCAACTTCCCATCTGGAAAAGCCAATATTTCAATATTTTATGTGACATGCAGAGCTTACTGAGCATTAAAAAACAAAATTGTTGTTTTGCAAGGATTTACTTGTATTCAACTGAGGGCAGGAGCATGAGGAGGCAGCAGATTCCTCAGTATTGCAAGCAACCAATAAAGATTGTGACTGATGAAAAAGGAAGAAAATCACAAGACTGAAAACTATGTGGTTAACAGGTTCAGGATTTAGGAGACCAGCTGCAACATCAGTCATACAGTGAAAATATTTGGGACTTGTTTAAGGCTGCTGATAGCAGTGAATCTTTCTTTTTCTGGTAGGACGTAATACAGGTCCCATTGCATCCTGTCAAAAGCCATTGCACATATCTATCCCACAAGGAGACTGTGACACTGAAGGTCATTTCAGGTTCAGGACTGTAGTCCAGAGCTCCTTGAAATTGTAAGTATTCGCTTCCTAGGAGTTGGAGCTACTGAAGAACTGCAAATGTTCTCCTACACCACAGCACATTAGGTGAGATACAGAAAGCACTGCTTATTCTTCCTCTTGGCATTTGCTGCAGGTGCACTTTGCTCAGTACTACTCACTCTGCTTTCTTGCGCTTGTGGTAGGAACGCCTCCAAGGGTTTCTCCAGGTTTTCCTTTTAGCTAAGGACAAATCAGGAAGGAAAGCAGCTAGAGACCCTTCGATCTGATCTGGTTTTCCACACAGGGCATGCTCGGTTGAGCAGTAGTAGGAGCATTCGCCATAGAAGCAGATGTTGTTGGCTGACAAATAAAGGAAAACAGTTTTAAAACCTACTCTTAAATTAGTTTTCAAGAATTCACAAAAACACTGCTGTATGTGAAAAAACTTCAGGAGAAGTGAAGCTCTGACCCAGAACCCGCTGTTACCACGCATAGTTCTCTTCTACTGAAACCACTAGAAAGACTGATTTATTTCAGTGGCTGGGATCACGCCCTATGCTGAGCTGTGACTGTTTCCATGTTATTTATATTCCAAAACCACAAAATATATGGTTTTTTTTCTTCCTTCCAGCCCCAGACTGATAGGTCCTCTTGCATACATGTGTTGCCCTATGCTAACTGGGGTGTCTGGAGTCCCAAGTCCTGCACATGGCCAAAATTAAGCCACCTTCTAAAATCTAATCTTATGTTTTAAAGAACATGAAACAACATTTCGTCCATTTATTTGCTGGGTTGAGAACTGGCAGTTTTACTGAGGAGAGCTACGTAGCATGCAGACTTATGTGGAGGTGGAGAAGGTGAAAATAGCACAGATGTAAATCTTTCAGCACACATCCCAAACAGAAATGTTCTCCTCCACAAGTCACATTACCCCAGCAACCATTAGACTAAGGACCTGCAGCACATTTTGGAATGTGTGTTACCTTAAGACTTGCCCAAAGTTGCCACCACACTTTCTGCAGTAAGAGGAACCGTCCACCTCTTTACAAAAACCCCTTCCCACAGGACCATGACCAAGAAGGAGAGCATGATGCTGGGCTTGTTGGTGTGCAACAACTCTTCCTAAAATTACTGCGTGCACGTAAGATGTCATTCGAGATAGATTGTGCCCTTCTCTTATGGCAGCACACAAACCCAGAAGTCACTTTGCTTCCTAATTCCTTCTAAACTCAAATATTTCTTCAGAACTACTCTCTTTGCAGAAGGAATAAACAGGTGTAAATGAGGCAGAGGGGGCTGGTGTATTGATGGAGGTTGGCTTCTGCCTGCTGCATGTGGCTCAGAAAGGCAGGCTGCCACACTGCCACCGCAGCACGCCCATCAATGGATGGATGTCTGTCCCTCCCAGCCCACAGATGTGTGCAAACCCAGCCTAGGGCTGGCAAGGCATGCAGGATTAGGGATAAGGATAAGAGATAAGGAGCAAAGAGGGCAAGGAGCAATGTGGCCCCCACGGCACAGGGATAAGAGGAAGAACAGAGAAATGATGTGGGGCTGCAGCTGGGGGAGGAGTGGGAGCAGCAATAAGGTCTCATTATGGCTTTGATTGCATTAATTAGCTGTATTGCATAGGACTGACTGCTAACCCTGGAATTACCTCAAATAATCAGACTAAATGGCTGATGATTTACTACTTGACAGTTTCAATCAGGGTTTCCTTGGCAGCCTCTATTGATGGTCATCGATTTGTCCATTGAGGTGTGGTTACTTTATGCTGGGCACACATTTTTCAAATCCCTCTGTTGAGAACAGCTCAGAGGGCTGCCCACAGTCTGTCCTCAGGTACAACTCCTGCCCAAACAGTGTGTTCGCATTCTCACGTTAAAGCCCGATTCAGTCCAGAAAATGACTGAAAGAGAAGTACTTGGGAGAAAAGAAAATGAAGATCAGGCTTGCTTCTCCTCCCCGTGCCAAGCAAAGCTGAACCACTCCTCGTACACCAGCCGCTCCAGAACCATCTCAGTAGCCCTCACTCATTCTCTTAGCCTAAATTCAAGTGCAAAGTCAACATCTGAAGAAACCCAATACGATGCAAGCTGCGGGCTCATAGCCCTGCAGCCTGTGATCACTCAAGGGTTCCCTTTCCACAAGGGCTCCTGAAGTGCAACCCTGGCTATATATAAAGTTGGATAAGCCCAACTTATCCCTGGGCTAATGCAGGTGCCTCGGCTGCCTTTGATCATCCTGGCAAAACCAGGAGGGCTTCATGCCTCCTTGCAAACCTCTTAGGATGAAAGTGCAGAGTTGTGGAGCACCTGCGGGCAGCACGGCGCGCAGCAGCAGGTCTGTGGATGGGAGGCGGGTGGTTAGGGAGGCTGGGATATGTTCAGCCAGCAAAGAACAGGGGAAAACATCTGTGGTTTATACCTTGAAAAGAAGTGATTGCAAGCAAAGTGTTTCAAGGGGCTCCGGGCTGCCACAAGGGATGGTTTACAAGAAATCACATACAGATGCTGTGCCTGCTGCAGGCTAGCACTGAGGAATCAGGAAGTACAAAGAGAGCCTGATTTCCCAGGGCCTGCTGACACGGTGGGAAGGCAGGGCTCTCCCCAGCTGCAGCCAGAGCCAGTGTCTGCATGGAATTGAAGCTGCAATGGGCTCCTGTTTAGTTCGGCTGTGTCAGCATCACCTGCTGCTCTGTGCAGGGAAGGAACCCGCTCCTATTTATCTAGATCACCAGAGACAATTTATCTCCCAGGGGCCGGGTGACCTGACTTCCCAGCTGGCAGCAGGAGGCTGGCACTCAGTTATCTGCTGCTGCATGGGTTCTGCAGTGAGCAAAAGGCACACAGATATGCCCCTCCTGTGCTATCGCAGCCTCTGCTGCACATTATGCAAATCTGACCTTTCAAAAAAAGAAATTATAATAAACACAGCATTTTGCACAGCAGGGAAGATATATACTGTGTTTAATAGTTTGCTTCGGAATTTAACTTGGGGAACAATGAAACCCTGCTTGGTATTTTCAATGGAAGCAACCGGGACTAACCATCTGACAGTAATCACACACTGGAACCCAGATAAATCTCAGGAAGGCTCGGAGGCTATCTCCACTGTCACGCTGCTGCTGATGAGGGGTGACACAGCTGGCACATGGGCTGCTCTGCTCCTGCCGTGCCCCTCCAGTTATTGACTTTCCCACAGAGCCCCATTGCTGCAACAGGAGCGCGGCCGCGGCAGGATGCAGCCTGTCATTAGGGCAGCAAGCATGAGGTAAAGGCATAATGCCTTTTCTGACAGCTGGTGTTCTCTCAGACATACTGCACTCACTCTGCGTCACTTCTATCTGATCTCTGGGCATAGTGGAGGTGACAGAGTGCTGGATCTCAAGTGATTATTAACAAGATTAACTTTTTTGATGGATACAGAAGAGACATGCTGAAATGTCTATCCTGGTCCTTACGTACAGAGAGTGAGATGAAGCAGTCTAAATTATCTGGGGAAATATGCTCATTTTAAAGGCTTCTTAAAACTGTAGAAATCAAGAGGTACCAAAGATAGACACTGCTCTCATTTAGGGCTTCAAGGTGCAGCAGCAAGCTTCTTGGAAGCCTAAGTAGGTGACCCACATTCTGTGGGGCGTGCTGAGTGGGAAATTCCAGCCAGAGACACAAACCCAGCGCTTCAACAGGAGTCCCACACGGAGCAGGGCATGGCCTTTGGAAGGCAGTGAGAGCCCCAAGAGCAGCACAGCAGGAGCAGCCGCGAGGGCTGCATGCAGCAATGGCAGCAGCAGCACTGCCAGAGCAGAAAGGGATGTTTACACACACAGAAATGCTCAAATACTTTGAATGTGTAACATGTAAACCCCTTCTTCATTAAAAACAAACAAAAAGCCTGTTTCCCTCAGAGCACAACAGAAGCAAGTGAATATCGAGTGCTCTTGCAGATGTCTGACTTCCATTATCCGAGGATGGATGGACACAATTCATAATGAAATCCAACAAAAATCACCACATTCGGTGATCAAAACTTGAACTAATGATGACAATTAAGAAGCAGAGTGCCTGTGTACTCATCTACACATTTTCTGTGCATCACCCTGATAGCTGAACCATAACTCTTCTTGGGAAGAACAGGAACAAGTGGAGACACCTTAAAGCAAATTGCTTGGCAGAGCAATTCTTTTACTGAGATTTGCATGAGTCTTAATTGAGGACATTTAGCAAGCCTGTGCAATTCAAGTACTGGAAAGAGCCCTGAATATTTACCAATGCAATGCATGAAAAGATCTTCCATTTACCTGCTCAAAATAATAGCTAATTCAGAATAGCTATTGTTTGCTGAGAGGAAAAAAAAACACAACAGAATCCCTTGGAATTGGTTAATAAGAAGAAAAACATAGTGCTTACTAGCTGTGCAACATTGATTTCTTTAAGCTGCTGCCTCAATTACTTCCAAAACGAAGGCTGACATCATTAATATGTCTCTTTTTTCCTAGCAAATTACCATTCATTTGTAAGAGTAGCAGGGCTACTGCAGTCTGCCCTACTGCAAAGGATGCAAAATTAATTTAAATAATTACTGACCTAATTCCATTTCTCATGTTCAGTCCAAACTGCCTGGAAGAGCACTTTTCTGCAACCTGCTTTCTGTCCGAATGCCTGACCCCAGCCCTTCCTGCTCGCAGGGAAGGACAGACGGACACCACGTGCTGTGCAGCAGCACCTGCCCGAGCTGCCTGGAAGATCTCCATTTCCATTTCTGCTGGAACAAGTGTGGACATTCAGGAAGGTCCCTCCTAATGTACCTCCTGCCAGTCCGGGGAAAAACATCGTGTATTGGTCAGCAGTCACAATGCTCATAACGATTTCCTGAAGGGTTTTCACTGTGAGTGATGGTCTCCCAGCCCAAGGGAAAGAGTTGTGTGTATAATGAACTACACTCAGTGCTTGTTGTGTGGATAGGGACACACTGCTGGCAGAAGCAATACATCCCCATGAGCAGCCACTGTCAGCAGACACAGCTGGGGAGGGGGATGCAGACCCCAGAGGGGGCTTGGTGTGCAGTGGCTGTGTGCAGACTGATTCTTGCAAGTATCCATGTAGCACCACACAACTAATTGCTTAATTTAGGACTTTTATCACTTTTTCATTAGGCATTAATTAATGTCTGCCTTTTAAGGTCAGTATGAAACACAAGATGGAGGCCGGGCATATGTTAATGAGACTCCTGCTAATTAAATTGGAGCTTTGGAAGGAAGAGCTCTGACAAGTAGCCAACATGATTTGCACATAGTATAATGATTCTGAAAATGCAAAATTGAAAAGAAAAAACAATTGCTTAAATGTTTTATTCTCCAGGAAAGCCTGATTCATAGCTCAACAAATATTTTAATTGAATTTACCAAAAGCCTCAAAATAAATTTGAATAAGGGATTATGCTTGGATCATCCTTTGGCTGTCTGGAATTTTGCAGTGACAAGATCCTTATCTTCATCCAACAGCAGCTTTCACTCTGCACTGCTGGGCTGCAGCTGCTCTATAGACAAGCATGGTTTTGGAATTCTCAGAAAGCACTCAAGTTCACCCCTAAGCCTCAGTGTATAACCCAGGAAGACTAAAAAGCAAGCAAGCCTACTAATCCTTGTCTCACTGGCTAAAATGCAAGTAAAACATCTTATATTTCACATGAGCCAAAACATCTTCTGCGCACAAACAGCTGCAAGATTTTTTGGTCATCTTTCATGGGTAATTATTTGCTTGAAAACAAATCAAGCAAAAAAAAAATATATATATATATCTATATGCATATATATACATACGTAAATGGAGAGAGATAGAAGGAAAGGAGTGAGAGAAGTGCCTGGCTGGCCATGCAGTGTGCCTGAAGAGCACATTTGTGAACACCATCAGTCATATGGGCACAACTGGGGCACGTATAACAGGGGAAGGTGAAACATCTCATAATCGTGTAATGTATTGCACAAGGGTAGTTACTGGAATAAATAACAGTCTGCTCAACCATATCCTGCAGAGCCAAATATAAATATTAAGCTAAAAATAACAGCCACAATAATGACTTTATTGGTGCTCACAATAGTGTGATAAACACTTTAACTGAGAATGCTGTGCAGAGCAGGCTCTGCTTCCAGCTAGCTGCAGTAACACGCTGCTGCCATGGGAGAATCTGTGCTGAAGGCTTTGGGTGTTGCTTTCAGGGATCCAGGCTAAGCAGCTGCTGGCCAGGCACACCGAGTGAAGGAGAGAGCCCTGGAGATTCCTGCTGCAGAGTTCCTGTTACACAAGTTCAGGAATGCACATTTGCACACAGCTGAACTAATATGGGCTAAGCACTGTGGACACAGCTACAGGTTTTACATCTAGCATTTCCCTGTATATTCTTTCTCCGCAAACATACTTGAACATGTATTTTTGTGCCTTAATTTAGAGCCTTAACCTCAACATTTCAACACCCCAGAGGATCCCTTTGACTATCTTTCCCTATTTTTGTACATTCTGGGAACAGTATGGACATTTACCCCGTGTTTGTACAGCTCCCATGCTGTGGAGCTCAATCCTTGGCTAGGGCCATCAGATGTTGTGAAAGAGAGAAGAATATTGCAAACAGGGGTGATAATGATTCCTGGGCCAGCCCTCAAAGCAGGTTCGAGGGCTGGGACCAATTCAGATCAGTTTTACTCTAGACTGTGCAGCAGTGAATGTGAGCTGGAAGCAGGATACATTACACATCTGCTTGATTTTGTTTCAGGCTCCTCTTGTAATAAAAACTGAGGTATGTGACTCTGAGAAAAGGAGGTTTTGGTTCTCCAGTAAAAAACAAGAAACAAATGCATACGACCACCAAAAGTGACAGCTCACACAGCACTAGGAAAAAAAGGTCTAAATAACTAATAGGCTGAGTAATAAGCTTTTGGGTAAACTGAGAGAAACAGAAGAAATTGCTTTAGAAACTGCTCTGCGTAAAACATTTGTTGAGTACATTGCTTTTGTGAAAATAAAAGCTTGTCTCTGTGGATAATTTGTCAAGGGGAAAGGCACTCAATTCAAAACAATAAAGTCTTCTTTGTATGCAGTGTCTCCACATTTATATTTATTCAAAGGTCTAGAAGACAGTTCTATTAGAAATATCTGAGCAATTAAGCAATCTACACATCGTTCCCCTAAGTACGTGTTCATCAGGATAGAAAGAACACAGTGCTGTTTCCAAGGCTACCTGGTGAGATGAAAAATGTTCTCCACAGCTTCTTGTCACGAGTCACATCTCGTATCTCCCTTGTCATGTTAACCAGTCTGCCTGCAACCGGTGGGACACGACGGAAATCCAGGATCCTGGGAGAAAAGGAGAGGCAGTTTATGTAAAGGATTGCAACGATAGTGATAGGTTTCAGGAAGGTTCAGTACACCCTTAAGGCACGTTAATCTGGGGCCTTTAAGAAAGCCCGTCAGCTGTAAATTGGATCATCCTTCTGATAATATCCTACAAAATGCATCATGAATATTACCAGCTCTGACTCGCCTACACAGTACGGAGCAGACACAGAGCAGTGTGGAGACATGCTGTCCCATGAGAAAAAACAGTGACATAAAATTGCAGAAAGAAGAGACAGGAGGGACTTGGTGTTCACCTGGTGCCAATTCAGGGTTGTCACAACATGTGTTTTGCTCACCAATGTTTTAGGGATTGGAGGAATGGGATTTCAGCCTCTGTCTCCCATGAACACCATCTAATAAGCCTAAAAACTAGTTTTCTCTTTGTTTGTTTGTTTGTTTTCCTGACGGGCTTAGTACTGGTTTCATTTATTTCCTTCTGCTCCTCCCTGTTTCAGTACCCTCATACCAATATAAACAACCTCCCTGCAGCAAAACATTTTCCCACAGGCAAAGGGTGGAGAAAGAGCCTTTCTCAACTACAAACTCTCCAGCTTTAGTAGATCATTAAAAACTCCCTATGAAGCAGTGCCATTAGACACAGTAAAAGAGCAAAGTCTCCACACAAAGCCTCCCCATAGGTGGGATTTTTATGTCCACTCTACTGATAAGATTTTCTGCACTGAGTAGCAACTGCTTTTTCTGCTTAGCATGTGGATGTTTAGTGTTACTCCCCGCAGGAACTCCATTAATGCCTTTTCCTACAGTACCATCTGCTTAAAACGGCAATATAAAATATAAAACAGAGGGGATCAGCACCAAGGTCAACATTAAAATACAGAAGACCCCTTTAAGGATGAGACCAAGATGGCTCTTAATGGCCAATCTACTCTGTGCCACCCACAGACGTGTTCCCTCATCCTGACCATCAATCCAGAAGGCATCAATACTCCATGCACCCCTAAACAATTTGTGGCCCAAAGCTCCGAACTTTCGCAAGGATCTTTCTTGGCACTGCAGACTGCGAAGGAAGCCTCAGTTCTAACTCAGCCTGTGCAATGAAATGCTTTGTAGCCCTTTCGTTAGTAATTCATTAATAATTAATTCTTGCTCCTAACGTGGGCTGGCTGAGACCGTCCTCTGTCCATTTCCAACACAGCCTGCACTATTTCTGCTTGGAGGACATTTTCAGCTAACAGGAACGTGAGATGACCAGCAGTGTCCCCTGTCCCAGATACCCTCCTGACATGGGACAGCCCTTGCTTCGGGCTGTGACGCCTGGTCTGCTTTTCTATGGCAGTTACTCTTTGAACACTCAGGAGATTCCCCATGCCTCACTTGGATTTGCCCATCCTGGAGCTGAATGGGGTGAGCCAGATTCCCATTGTGCTTATGCCACCTCTTCCCCAGGAGATGGCAACTCCCCACAAGCACTTGCAGATCACAGAGAAAATTAATTTCTCAGCCTCCTTTTGAGAGCATTTCTCTTTTTGAGAATTACTTACTGCTCAGTTTCTCACTCCTGGAACAAGTCCAATTTCCTGATTATTAATCTACCATTTCATCACCTTCCGTTTCTTTTATTCATGGCTTTTGCCCACTTTTGTTCCATTTTCCCCCTTTTTAAAAGCAATTCAGACACAGAGCTGGGCAAATGCATGAACTTATCGCAATATTTCCACTTTTTCTTTCAATGCAAATCCATTTTACTTGCCTGTCCAAATGAAATGCTGCAATTTCTGCATTATGTCTTTCATAGTCTGAGAAATAAAAAAAATCAGGCGGGGTTTCTTGTTCTCTGGTCTGCCTGCAAAGAAAAACAAGGAAAGTGTTTTAATGAAGGTTTAGCATTCCTAAGAAGCAGTACTCAGACATCAGTGAGTTGTTCAGTGGTTCGGTATTGTTTGCTTAATGGAAGGCCTTTAAATACTTCGTGTGTGCATTATTTGTCATGTAGCCTTCATTTCAAGTTCTGTTTTAAATTACTGTAACAAAAAATAGGGTTCCAAGACTCGTGCATGCAGGCTGCTGTCACCAAGCTCCTCCACTCAAGGCTCTCGCTCTATTTAACAAGATCTGTTTTATCACTCTCAAACATTTCATTAGTGATAGCAGCGAAGACAATGCCATTTCATTAAATTATCATTAACTGTAATTATGAAATTTCCAAAAGTAATAACATTTTTCTTTCATCTCTGGGAGCTGTGCAGCTCCTATCTAAAATACGACTCTGCCTTTGTGTTTCTTGGAGCCAAAAGTGACATGTTTTTCTCATTTCAGAAGAAATGGGATCATTGCAGTTTGACGGCCACGACACATGTCATGTTTCAAAGAACATTAACAAGCCAGTGTTCCAGAGAAGATGCAGAATTTGTTGTTTCTTCAGCATAAGAAACAATAAAAAATGTCATCCTGATGGAAAGAGAAAGGCTAAAGATTGAACACTGAACTCCACGGCAAACAGAAAGCTCTGTGTGACAGGAGTAAATCTGCCTTATTTTAGGCAATTTCCAGCCCTGATGGCTTTTGGACGGAGAGCAACTCAGGCAGTTGACCAATGCAGTGTCAGGGCCCCACCAAAATCTGCACCATATTCCATTTGAAGTCTTAAACATGAAATATGGACTGCAAAACTGTTCTGTAGAACATCTGCAAGGGAGGACAGTTCCCTAGAAGAGGAAAGCATAATTTTCCCAAGCTCTTTCTCGTTCCCAGGTGGCCAGCTGACAGCTCGTGCATCACCTGTGCTACACAGCAGCCATTAAAACACATCTCACTTCCACAAAGACTTTGGTATCCCTGCCCACAGCAGAACACTGGAACCAGATGTCCTTTAAGCCTTCCAACCCAAGCCACAATATGATTGTGTGATTCCAAGACAAGTGCTGAACTATTGCCATCACAGAGAGAACATCAAGGTATTTGGTGGGTCCAGTGTAGCAGGAGGTCAGAGGGGCAGGAGGTCAGAAAATAAAAAATAATATTGTGGTTTATCTTCACCATACATGGAAAGGAAAAGGATAGCACCTACAAGGAGGAAAACAGAGAGTCCGAAACCTGAGGCATGTCACACAGCGTGCTGTGAAAGGAACACGAAAGCTAAGAGAGCAACCTTGGTGAATATGTTCCCCTCAGAAATGAAGAAATGACCCTTAAACATAAATGCAAAGAAACAGGCTCTGGCATTTCTGTCGAGCAGAAGATTATGAGTCTCTATATAACTTTCCCTCCCTCCCAGATTTTCAAACAGTCGATTGCTTCAACAAATGAAAGAAAAAAAGACTCATCCCAAGCCTTTGCAAACTTTACACATATCAGCACAGCTGATAAGCAGCAGAAAATATTACTAATTAGCTAATCAATGCCATCTGCCTTTTATCTCCAAAAGGCTTTAAACAAATCATGGCTGTTCCTTTACAAGAAAATCTTGCTCTGGAAAATGAGACTTAAAGAAAGGGTCGATCCGAATCTTGCCAGCACAGCTCTCCGCGCCGCCCCATGTCGGCAGTCAGCACATCACCGCTGGGATGCTCTGATCTCTCTCATTTCATTTTCCTCTTTGTTCCCTGCCACCCCTGGCAATGGTTGGGGATGTTATTCGGTTTCAAGTCAGTATGGCTCTCCTGCAGGCTTCGGCTTGTTTGTAAATATTTCTCTCCTGTCATAATGTATTACTGAATGGTGGTGTGGGCGCGCCCTCCTAGAAAATCATGAACTTGATTGTCCCTAAAACTTGCAAAATGAATGGATACCAAATTGGCAGTGCAATTCAAACAATGGAAATATTGTGTTTTTTAAGCCTGACTAAAGATCATGAAACCAACCTGTACGTTTCTTCAGTGCTTCAGGTGTTTCACTCTAATCATCCGTAGGTGAACACTCTCCAGCCGCAGTTACCACGGGCTGTGCCCACAGGCACGGCACCCACCTTCCTGCTTCTGGGCAGTGCTGGGCACTTCTGAATGCAGACTGGAAGGAGTATTTATCAAAAACAGCTCTGCAGAACTAAGTTGTACTAGGCTCAAAAGTGAAACTCTCTGAAACAACCTTGAAAAATCCCTTTGTATAACAGGATCCAATATTCCACTTAAAAGAAGGGGAGACTTGCTCTTTGGGTCTGAACAAAGGCTACAGTTTTATTCAAACTTATTAATGATTTATCATTAATTTGATGTCTGCAGCAGCACCTAAAGAGCTGCTGTACCACCAGCAGATGCCAGCATGTGTGATGACCATTGCCTTCAGTGCAGCACTGCATTTGAAAGGTCTAATGCAGTGCTGAATTGATGGAATCCGTGGACCATTAGGAATGGCTTCTGCAGTGCTAAAAGCATACCTGCATCATAATCATAACCTTGATGGTTTCGTTTAAATAAATTTGTAAATGATTTTATTATATTTGAAAACTTGAGAGTTTTAACGTGCTCAGTCTAATCATCACCCAGTTTGCTGCCAGTTCTTCTAATTATTTTCTTACACGCACACACAGCCTTTGGACACGCACACCTGATGTGTGTGTAGGGAGCGGTGGGAAATTTGATGATTCTATGCACCAAACCCTGCTCTCAGTAACAGGGGTGGGCAGTCAGCAAGCCCAGCGGTTACTGTAGCACAACAGCCTCAGTCTCTACTGGAAAGGCTGGGAAAGGAGCATGCACTCTGAGCCAGAGTCAGTTAAAATATCTTATAAAACAACACTGGAGCTGGTCCACCCCGTAGCATGTTTTAAATCAGAGCTGCGTTTTAAGGGAAGAAGAAAAAAAACAACCAACAACCTAAGGACAATCCCAAGCCAGAAATCCCTCCCTGTTATTTTATCACCCGGTGGTTACTGAAGGTTAGTGCCTAACAAAACAACACGTGCAGTGAAGGATTTGAGCACACAGACCAGTCCACCAAATGCTCACACAGCGCTCGTGTCTGATGGACAGCAAACCCCATAGCATGCAGGACTTAGTCCTGCACACGTTGGCAACAGTGGGAGAGCGTTTCTGGCTGCGGCCCTTATTTTGCAAACAGTTGGAATCTGGTGATCCTCTCTTTGGAGGAGGATTTGGCTGATATTTCTAACGGCAGGCTGGGAAGCTCTGGAGGAGAGACAGATGGAGGTCTGTTGGTGCTGCGCACAGTTAAAAATCACACAGTGGCACCAGACCGATTATTGCATGAGGAAAAGACAAATCAGCACCGGTAACACTCATAGGGGAGGAATAAGAGGAAAAAGGACAAAGGGGAAAGAAAAGCCCATGAAAATTTCCCAGCTTGGAAAAAACACAGGAAGTAAAGAAGGATTTTAAACAGGATAAGAACACGTCTGCACGATAAGATGGAACTTCTGATCTTGCAGCTGGAAGAGCAAGTCATGCCTGAAAGCAGGAGCAACAGAGATACTGTGCTAAATGAACGCAGTCGTGAGTAAATCAGGTGAGCAGCTTCCTCTGACCATGGTTGGGACCTGTTGTGGTGCTCAGGAGTTTCTGGATAAGCCAACACAGTGATGTGTGTGCAGGTTCAACTGCAAAACCTCAAGTTTTTTATTATGTTTCTGCAAACAATTGTTGGCTAATTTTGCCCTAACTCAATATTATCAATTTCTTGGATTCTTCTTTTTTTTTTTTTTTTTCCATGAAGCTCATAAGCTGCTGCAGGCTTTGTGGCATTTCAGGAGGCACTGTTAGGATACCTTTAACATGGAAATCTCTACTTAGCTTCCAGGATCTCCTGTGTGCACCTGCTCAAATTACCTGGATTAATCCCCACCAAGGCCACCAGGGCATTGCTCGAAAGAATCCTGCCTCAGTGCCAGACTTCCTCTGCACCAGAGGGGTCCTATTATCTGTGCAGCAGCCAGAATGCCAGAAAATAGAGCAAACAGCCCAATCTGACTCAACTGCAATTCCAACACACGCTGTCCTCCTGTGCCGCAGTCCAAGGATATTTCAGGACACCTTGGTCTCAAAGGCGCGTACCTCAGCTAATCAAAGGACATACTGATGACTTGAAAGCAACTCCTCCTAACGAGGCTGTGCTCCTGCTTCCACACCTAATCAGGGGAATCAGCAAAAGGGATTAGGGATGATTAAGGATCACAGATCTGCAGCACAGAGGGGTTGCTTGGGTTGGTTTGAGAGACGGAGACCCCGATGCTGCTGGGGAAATCCGGCAGCTGCAAAACCAGCAAGAATGTAACTGGGAAAGGAGGCACGGTCAGTGCATTGGCAGGGACAGAGCTAACACTGCTTAGAGTAATGTGCTTATGGGAAGAGCACTGGAGATCAGCCAGGTCTGCCCACGGCTACAGGTTGCTATTCTTCTTCCACGGAAAGCAGCTTTCCTCTGTTCCTGTTAAGGTGCCTAAATAACTACTCTGGAGCCAAATCGAGGCCTTGACACTTAATATCCAGTGTTATCCAAATGATAAAATACAGTTAGTGCAGGAGCTAACCCAGAACTGGGGACTTCTTGCATTCAGAAGCACCATGTGGGGCTTTGGCATTGCTTTTGCACCAGCAATCAATTGATGTAACCACAGATGCTCCACCAAGTCCTGAAAACCCTTCTTCCGGTGCAAGCAGGCAGGCAAATCTGCAGCCTAGGAACTTCTTTGTACTCTGGAAAACTCAGACTGAGATTCTGGTGTCTGCTTGCAGGATTTTCTCTCCCCCCCCCCTCAGCCCCCCTCCATCCCTTGTGTCAAATTGGATTGTGCAGCACTGGGATCCAGAGTGCCTTGAGATAATCTAAAGCGTATTATTCTAACTGAAGGAGGCAGCCGGTGGAAAAAAAAGAAAGAAAGAAAGAAAGAAA